CAACAACAAGGAGTCTGGTGGCACCTTAAAGACTAACAGATCTGTTAGTCTTTAAGGTGCCACCAGACTCCTTGTTGTTTTCGTAGATACAGACTAACACGGCTACCCCCTGATTCTATATACCAGGTGTGTGTTAAACTCTGAGCAATACTTCACCTGCGGTTCAGTTTTTGCTCATCTCTTTCTCTCTCTCTGTAAAGCTGAAAGAAATTGCGGAGGCAGAAGATGCCCTCTCTGAGGCCAATGCCCTGAATAACAACAATGCCGAAGTGTGGGCATATCTAGCGCTAGTTTGCATGCAAGTGAGTGTCTTATCTCAACATCAAATGTGATGAAACATGTTCTGCTTTATCTACATCAATGTTTATCTATATGTCTCAAAGGTGCCTCATTGGTAAAGATAGATAGGTTTGGGGGTTATTCTCTGGAAACACACAAATGTGGAAGCATTTTAATGCCAAAAGAAACAATCTTCCCCTTTGTTTCTCATTACCCTTTCTCCTACTAAATATTCCACAGCTGAGGTATTCCTGTCATCCAGCCTTGTTAAAATATGTCTCTTGACAGTAGCTGAAACACCTGATTTTGTCCTATCAAACAAGCTTCTCACAGGCTACTGGTGTTTTTCAGGGAGGAAGGCAGTTGGAGGCAGAGCAGTCTTACAAATACGCAATGAAGGTATGTATTTTTCTTATCCCTTCTAGTTTGGGGGGAAAAAGCAGGATGAAGAGGTCGGCTCATGGTCTGATGTCAATTAAAAAGGAAGTCATCTATTTTTCTCAGCAGAGGGTTCTGAATATTCATATAGTGAGAAGTACTTGCCCTTTTTCAGGTTTGAATTATATTTGAAAATAAGATACTTAATTAGGTGATATTTCTGAGGCTTCTGCTGTCAGCTGCTATCATCTTGCTGACATATGATATCATTTCTGATACCAGCAGTAGGGAAATATTTGGTACAATGACAAAGGCTATTTCTATTTTCTTTACAGTCTCTAAGTGGGATTAGTTGGTTGAATCCTCCTTCATGGCCCAAAGTATTCTAGGAAGATGTATCTTAGGTGCTTTAAGACTTGTTCATGTGTCCCTGTTTGATCCTCTTCTTTTCCATACAGTTAGAGCTGAAGAATGAGGAACTGCTCCAGGAAATCCATGAGGTACAGCGAATGGTTGGCTTCGGTAATCCATCGTTCTGAGCACTGCCTCTTCTCTGATCTACGGTCTCTTCTGTTCAGTCAGGAGATGGGTGAACATCATGGTCTTGGCCCTCATTCACTAATGAAACATTCTAAACGTCCAAACTCCTGCTGATATAGTGGATCATCAGGTGGTCTGGAGAAATTAAACCCCTCAATGGCACGGGGGGGTGGGGGGAAAGGAGAACCCCTAGATAGAAGGCCATGGGAATTAATTCCCCTTTTATGATGTGTTACATCAGTTCCTTGATGTAACATATAATACATTCATCAGCCCAGTTCATCTGCTTTATGAAAAATAACTCTCATGTACAATATAAGAAATAAAATAGCTCAGAAGCAATTAACATGGGGTGAGACTCTGAAAAGTAACTCTAAAAATGGTATCACGTGGTTACAAGTTGATAGTTTGTTAATAATTTTTCAGATCCTATTCACTTAGTTTAGGAGTAAAAATATAGGTATTTTCCTCCTAACTGCCAGCTCCGTAAACTCCATCTGAGATCTGAAAGTCAAACTGAGTTCTTTCAGGGTTATACATCTTCACCAGTATTAAAGCTTCTGCAGTTGACATGTAATTAGCGGTTTGGCTGATGATGCATGAGCCAGAATGGATTCCAGCTCTCTCTCCCATAGCTGTGTGTAAGCAGTGGCAGCAAGTGTATAAAATAGTAAAAACTTACTATTGTCGGTAAGCAGATATGACTTGAAATAATGACAGTGAACAGATTTATTGAGTAAGAAGGTACCATTTTTACAGTCACTTTTCAGAGTAGAACCATATTTTAAGGACCATTATCAGAAAAGTATCTTAGGAAGTGATTATAGTCAAAAAGTAAGTGAATGGTTTTATTATAATACACTGGTACTTGACTATTGGATACCCAACCACTATCTTTTACTGTTAGGGTGGGGTTGGTAAAAGAAAACTACTCATAAACCAGCAGTTAACCACTGATATTTCCATCATTCAGAACTGGTTTTATCAGGATTATACCTTTAAAAAATATACATCTTTTCCTTATTTGGAGTCTTGTTCTTATTGTAGCAGTTTTGGCAGCCATATAGAAGGAAGGGTAGGAGAGATTATAATGCTGCGTTAATTTTATTCCTAATAAAATTAAGTTTCTGTACTTGAAACAATCTTTGTATGCTTCTTGTTTGTAAAGCCTCTTGCTTTGTCCTGGTGGGCTTCTGTGCTCGCATGCTACCTGCCCTTACCGATATATCACCAGCAGGTCTTAAATCAGCAGGAGGCTGTGCTTTTGTTCTAAGGCCTCCCCTAGGATGGGATTCTATTTGCACCAGATATTAATCTTAGTCCATCTTTTTATGCATTTAGAAACACCAAAAAACTTTTCCCAAAAGAGTTTATGTGGGTGTTCAAAAAACAAAAGGACACAAGGCCTGTCCGTATGTATTATCTGTCCCTTCCATCCCCTCAGGGCCGGCTCTAGGCACCAGCAAACCAAGCATGTGCTTGGGGTGGCACATTTTCAGGGGCGGCATTCCGGCCATCTTTTTTTGTTTTGTTTTTTGTTGCTTTGGGCGGCAAAAGCCTAGAGCCGGCCATGGCAGCAGCAGTGCGTGGTGCACGCAGGGTGCCCTGGGGCTGCTATGGTTCACGCTGTGGGGGAGCAGCGCCCGTACCTTGTGGCTGGGCCGAGCAGGAGATACTCGTGCTGGGGGCCGCCCCGCGGGGCACAGGGAGCCACCTGCAGGTACCGCAGGGCGGCCGCCCCCCAGTGCCGCAGCCGGGGCTGGGCGAAACAGCCTGAGGACTGCAGCAGGACAGCCAGAAGCAGAAGCAGCAGCGGGGCCATAGAGGGCGGGATGCTGCCATGCGGGGCCCGCATCCCGCTCTCCGGGGCTCCACTCCCTCTGGGGCTACCCTGTCCCGGCTCCTCAGCCCCCTGCCGGGGCGGTCCCTCAGCTCTGCCCTCCCGGGTCCGGCCGGTCCTGGAGGTGGGATCCCTGGCTGGAGGGACCCTGGGCTGAGGCGTGCCCCGAAAGCCCCACTGCTTACCCCAACCCTGCCAGCGCCAGACTGGCTGGAGGCAAGGGGGGAGCGGGCGGAGTCAGCACTGGTGGGGGGGAGCCCAGGGCTGGGGCGGCAGGGGGTGTGGGTGGGGGGGAGGAGAGAGCCCAGGGCTGGGGCGGCAGGGGGTGTGGGTGGGGGGGGAGGAGAGAGCCCAGGGCTGGGGCGGCAGGGGGGTGCGGGGTAGGGGGGGAGAGAGAGACCAGGCCTGGGATGGCAGGGGGTCCGGGTGAAGGGAGGGCACGTGGTGGAGGGGGAGGGGGGGGGTGAGGAGCCCGAGGGC